CCTAGAAACTCCCCACAGTATTCATATGTGCTCGGAGAGATCTTCGCCCAACCTCCTTCCTTCTCTGCACTCTTCCTCCTTCCAGCTATTCTTCTTTCTTTCCATTCTCCCTCCCTTGCTTCATTTCATTCTATTTTTTTTATCTTGCTCCTCTTCTTTCATGTAAATCTATTTTATCCTGTCCTTCCTTTCTTATCCCTATTTTTTTTATCCACTGTAATTCTTTTTATTTATTATGCAAACTCCGTAATCTATCCATCTATTCTCAAATCTACTGAACTCTCAATCAGGCTAGAAAATCTTAAACTTGCAATTTATGCTGAAATCACAAAACTGAAAAGGGCTATATCTTCTTCCACTCTCATAGTCCCTGCTCCCACGCCTGGTTCCTTCCTTCTTGATTTTGTACACTTATCCCTGGTGAATCTCGTAGAACACCTTTGCTTAAAGACATTTTGTGGTTTTGTTTTTAAGATTTTCAGGATCCTGCAAGAGAACTGACCTTGAGGACATTAATATTTCTACATTGCCTTTTTAATAGAATATTCCTAACAAAATATTGTAGTTGAACTCTGAAACATAATTATCATTCTTTGTGATAAGCATTCTAATTGTGGTATCATTTCATCTACTTGGGATAAATAAAACACAGATTATTAAATTGTAAAAGAAAGAAGAAAAAATTAAAAATCATTTGTGGACTTTTGTGGACTAATGTTTTTGTGAACTTCGTTGTGGCAGCAATAAAGAATCAGGAAAGGAGGAGGACACAGTATATTTTCTGTTACCATTAAAGTTAAATTCCTCTGTCTAAAATCCATTGTCTTGATAATATCAAAGTGAGAAAAAGAAAGAAATATAGATGAAAATAGTAATCCTTACACGTGTCCTAGAAAGTTTTTGAAGTTGCGTATGTGTGTGTGTGCACTGAAATCACTAAAATATATATCAAGTTATATCAAATGATATCAGTGCAACATCACTAAAATATATCAAGTAAATACTATATATAAACATCATTAAAATATGTGGGTTGGAGTGATAGCATGCAGGTAGGGCGTTTGCCTTGCACGCAGCCAACATGGCTGACTCGAGTTCGATTCCTCTGCCCCTCTCGGAGAGCCTGGCAAGCTACTGAGAGTATCTTGCCCGCACGGCAGAGCCTGGCAAGCTACCCATGACGTATTCAATATGCCAAACACAGTAACAACAAGTCTCACGATGGAGACGTTACTGGGCCCGCTCGAACAAATCGATGAACAACGGGAGTGACCATTAAACTATGTAAATATAAACTATACTTGTTACATAGAGTTGTTAGAAGATACCATCAGACTATATATACACACATGAATATGTGCATATACTTTTATTACATATCAGGATCACGATCATCCTGTTGTTCATCAATTTCCTTGAGCAGGCACCAGTAACGTCTCCTTCTTTCTAGCCCTGAGATTTTAAAAGAGATATTTCAATGCTCTTTCAGCATTAAGAGAATGAAACTCATCATTGTTACTGGTATTTGGCATATTGAGTATGACATGGGAAGTTTGCCAGACACTGCCATGCGGGCAGGACACTTTTGGTAGCCTGCCAGGTTCTCTAAAGGAAAAATAAGATAATAAGAAGTTGCACAGCCACAAAAGCGGCCATGCGCTTCTGGGAGCTGGGTTTTAGAGTGTCTGCATCTTGGCTATTGATGGGACCAACCTGGCGCTGGCTGCAGCTGGTGGGTGTGACGCCTACCTACTGGAAGATGGGGGGGTCTGGGTGGAGAAGGCCCAGTCCCAATCCAAGTAGGCTTGGAGACCTCAGCCCCGGGACCCGCATGCCTGGGTTCCTCTGCCAGTTCTTTCATGCATGAGGCCCAATCGGACGTATAGAGAGTGGTCCCAGCATTGCCGTGGCTGGCTCTGGAGGTCCTCAGCTGCTGGGGCTCTGCTTGGGGTGTGGGGGGGAGAGAAACTCAAACCTCCCCCCTCCAAGGGGCCCCCAGTGAGGACAGCCAGGTGTGGGGAAAGGAGACTATATTACATATAATATGTATATATTATGTACATACATATATAATATATGTATATACATATATATGTCTGTGTTTTATGTTATAAATTAATACCTTAATATACAAACACCTCAGTTACTTCTTTCTAATGCCTTAGAATATCTCTCTTTTCTTTATCCCCATTCCATTCCTAAATCTTTCTTTTTCACAAGGGTCACCCCTATTTGCGGGTGTATCTGGGTCTGCCCAGTATCATTTCTCATATAACTGAGCCTGATGGTTATACTTAGAGAAGGCTGAACAGTGCAGTGCTTGAGCACAGAGACAAAGGAGTCCACCAGGTATATAATTACAGGCATTCAGGGGCCATGAATTCTGGGAACACAACTCATGCCCTCACACATGCTGCACGTGTGCGTGAACACACTAAGTCTATTTTTTCTGGACAGAGTAAACTTATGAATCCATTGATAATTAACTGAATGTTGATTCTCTACTTTTTGGGGGGAGGTTGAATATAATTGAATTTATTTTTTTAAAGACATACCGCAGCTTTAGTTTTCACATTCTCTGTACATAAGTAATATTTGGGAACACTAACACTATCAATGGCTATTGCATAACTTCTCAGCACAGAGGCTAGATTCAGAGGTGTTAAGCAAGGCTAACAGCAAAATTGCCTATTACTTTTATGTAATCATCAGCCCAAAGAAAAGGCACAGCTTCTGCATAAATCTCTACACCATGGTAAAGGTAAAGGTAAACGTTGATCGTCGATTTGCTCGAGCGGGCCCAGTAACGTCTCCATTGGAGACTTTGTTGTTACTGTGTCTGGCATATCGAATACTCTCGGTAGCTTGCCGGGCTCTCCGAGAGGGGCGGAGGAATCGAACTCGCGTCGGCCATGTTGGCCGCTTGTAAGGAGAACACCCTACCCACTGTGCTATCGCTCCAGCCCGCACCATGAATAAAGTAAAAGTGAAATAACCCGCAGGAAAATGTATCAAACGCACCTTTTGTTCGCCATAGAATTAATTTAGAAAGTCCATGACATTACAAGGGAGTACCAACTTCTTGAACTATAATTCACAGTAACTAAGAGTTGATGACTATAGGAATGTGATGGCTACTAAAGGAAATGCTTCCCATGAGTTCTGTCATTATCATGGGCGAATTCAGATACAGCAATGTCATTACTATCATTTACCTCATGGAATAAGCAGAGTATATGATCTTCAATTTCAGAATATCTGTTATTTATGAAAATGCAGAAATTTTTTTGAGTATTTCAGAAGACCAATGGATTTCATTTTTGCTTAATTCTAGATATCTGAAAAGGTGAGTAGATCATAATGACTCTTCAATCTATGCTCGCTGAAAACATCAATGAATGAATTTCTGCTTTTTAATGCTAAGTACAGTGTCTACATGTACCAGAAAAACATTAAGAAAAGAAAAATACATAAAAGGTGTTTATTTATGTTAGGTGCACAGAGAAATTCCCAATATGCAACCATGGTATCATTAAATTATCTTGGCCTTCAAGGTCAAGACACTTAATGATATTTTGGGGGCAGGAATATAATGACAGTCACTGTTTAGTTACTGATTTGAATTTTAATGTAGATTCTCCTGCTTTGATTGTGAACTTGAAGAGACAATAATCTAATCAGCATTATCAACTCACCGTGTATTTAAACAATGTTGCCTCAACAAATTAAATTATGACCTAGTTAAATAACTCAAGAATATAAACAATGGGGCCACTGATTAAATGTCATGTTTAATAAAGAGTAATGTTTGTTAGTGTATTAGAAATGTTATCCATCAATTACTCCTAAACCACCATAGTTAGTCTAACTATGGAGAGGAACTACTTTCCCACTTCAATTTCCCTTCATTTAGTCATTTCTTCATTTCTCTTGGGCTGGAGCGATAGCACAGCGGTAGGGCGTTCGCCTTACACGTGGCCAACATGGCCGACCCGAGTTCGATTCCTCTGCCCCTCTCGGAGAGCCCGGCAAGCTACCGAGAGTATTCGATATGCCAGACACAGTAACAACAAAGTCTCCAATGGAGACATTACTGGGCCCGCTCGAGCAAATCGACGATCAACAGGAGGGCCTTTACCTTTCTCGGAGAGCCTGGCAAGCTACCGAGAGTATTGGATATGCCAGACACAGTAACAACAAAGTCTCCAATGGAGACGTTACTGGGTCCGCTCGAGCAAATCGACGATCAACAGGAGGGCCTTTACCTTTTACCTTTTACCTTCATTTCTCATGATTTGAGTCAAATGGTCAGAAGATTTTCAATAACTACTGTTTAATTATACAGGCAGAGACTAAGGACTATCTGCTTAGAAGGGATTATGACCAGAAATAAGAATGGTCTCAAAGAATTGGGAGATGCGTGCCAAATGTAGACTATAGATCAAACACAATAGCCACTCAATTCTTCTATTGCAAACTACAACACCCCAAAAGAAAGAGAGAACAAAAGGGAATGCCCTGCCACAAAGGCAGGTGGGGTGGGTGGGTGATGGGGTGGGAGTGGTGGGATAGATACTGGGATCATTGGTGGTGGAGAATGGGCACTGGTGGAGGAATAGGTACTTGATCACTGTATGACTGAAACACAAGCACGAAAGTTTGTAAGTCTGTAATTGTACCTCACGGTGATTCACTAATTAAAAAAAAAAGAAAAAGAAAAGAATGGATATATATTATCTACTGGAATTTTAAGGTTTTCCTAAGAAACTTCTTATTAAACTATTTATGACCATGCACAGAAGATTCAAATAAGATTTCTTATTTCATTGGCTTACATTAAAGAGGAATAATCAAATAATACAAAATAGGAGCAGTGAAAAGTGCTATCCAAATTTTCATTGAGATCCAATGATTACCATTCACCATTAGCATTTTTTCAAAGCATTTTTATACCACAAAGGAAATCACTGGCATTAGAATCAATTAAATGAAGTACTCACCACCACAATTACATTAGCTGCTGGAATTGGAAGGTTTTCCACTTCAAGATCTTGACCAGCCACAGCCAACAGATTAAGAGATGGGTCATATGCAGGCCTAGGAAACGCTGAATTAACTATTTGGTGTCTTTTGCTCAATTGAACCTGAGAAGTGGAATGGTAGCTATGTCTATATATCTTTTGTGGAGCTATATCCATACTTTTCTCAATATCTTGTGTATGGTGGTAAATGAATGTTGGCTTCCCATTCTTCTTCTGATGAACTGCCAACAAGTGATCATTATTTACAGAAAGGCACCCTGAAAAGGGGAGAGAAACAGAAAGAAAAAAGAAAAACCTTGTTTAGTTAGGTGAGTAGTAATATTTGATATGGTGATGTATCCTTTCTAAGACGGTTTTGAGACATGTAAAGTATTTAGACTGGTTAGTTTTCATTCCCTCCTCCACCCCCCACCTCTTCACCATTCACAACAAATAGAACACACATAAGTCTGGGGAGATGGTTCAAAGGGTGGGAGCTCATGCTCTGCATTCAGAAACCATGGTTCCAATCCCTGACACAGCATGATTTTCCAGAATACCAACAGGAGTGGCCCAAGAGCATCAAGCGAGAAGTAACCCTCCCTCTGTATTGCTGAGTATGGCCTAAAAAATTAATTAATTAATAAGAAACCTCCCCACAAAAAAATTTTGGCTCCTGGAGTCATTCCAGCGACTTTGGGCACTCAGGATGATATTTGAATGCATTCATTTTTCAGATATCTTTTTTTCTAATACAGTTTAGTCAAGAATCTCTTCCTTTATCTAAATTTACCATCACAACATACTTGTTTTCCTATTACTGGATGTTCTATCTATTCCTCATTTACTATTCATACTTTCCTACCTTTATTAGCTAGCAAACCATATCTCATGCTTATTTTATCATGCCTTCATAATTACTAGATAGTACATATATATATATATTTGAATGCTTATGAAGTATTTTAAGTTCATTGAGAGCAGAAACCTAAGTATATTTATTATGTCAGTAACCTCCATTTGTATAAAATATACATTATCTCTTCTCACATAGTAATATAACAGACAAGACCACATTTCCAAACTTTCCCTGCAATTACTTGCTGTCATTTGATCATGATATAGTCATTGAGTAATAAGTAAACATCATGTGAAAAGGGTTGCCATATAACCTTTCCTTCCACCTTTGTGATGGTTGAAGTGTAGATAGTTTGGTAGAAACATATGGTAGAAAGCATGTGTTAAGAATGATGGAGTAATATAAAACCAAAGGAGCCTAGTCAGGAGGTTTCTGATGAAAGTGAATACACAATCCTGATGAAAAAAAATATATATAGAGAGAAAAGTTCCTTCCACAGAAGCAAACTGGGGGAGGGCAGAGGGCATTGTGGAGAGAGGGAAACATTGTGATGGTGAAAATGTACACTTGTGAAGGCACAGGTGTTAGAACATTGTATGACTTAAACACAATCATAAGCTCATAAGTAGCTTTGTAACTGTGTATCTCCTGGTTATTCAGTAAAATAAAAGCAGATAAAAAACAATGAAGTTCACTGTTTGAATTTTATATGTTTTTAATGGTATTTTAAAAAAATTTGATAAACTAATTTCATTATGTACAACAGAATATAGTTATTTAATTTAATTCATTTTAAAATTTTTATTAGTGAAACACCACGAGGTACAGTTGTGGACTTATAAGTGTTTGTGCTTGGGTTTCAGTTATACAATGATCAAGTACCCATCTCTCCACTAGTGCCCATTCTCTACCATCAATGATCCCAGTATCCCTCCAATCCTCCCTATTCCCCCCATCCCATCCCACCTCTGTGGCAGGGCATTCCCTTTTGTTCTCTCTCTCCTTTTGGGTGCTGAGGTTTACAAGAGGCATTGAGTGGCAATCATGTTCGGTCTATAGTCTACTTTCAGCATGCATCTCCCATCCTGGGAGGACCCTCCCAACACTCTTTACTTGGTGCTTCCTTCTTGTTCTGAGCTGTCTTATCCCCAAGTGTGTGCGGCTGGCCTCCAAGCCATGGAGTGAACCTCCTGGTACTTATTTCAGCTATTCTTGGGTGTTAGTCTCCTATTTTGTTACTTTATATTTCCCAGATGAATGCAATCTTTCTTTGTTTGTCCCTCTCTTTCTGACTCATTTCACTTAGCATAATATTTCCATATAGTACCACTTGTATGTAAATTTCATGACTTCATCTTTTCTAATAGCTGCATAGTACTCCATTGTGCAGATGTACCAAAAGTTTCTTTAACCAGTCATCTATACAGTTATAGTCATCTCCATCTAATCAGTACTAAATCAATTGATTTAGCTACTAAATCAATTAGTAGCTTGATTGATTTCAAAATGCCTAATTTTTATTTCATCTTTAGTATTGAAACCATAAAGATTTCTTTCTATTACTATTTAAGAGGGCTGGAGCGATAGCACAGCGGTAGGGCGTTTGCCTTACAAGCGGCCAACATGGCCGACCTGAGTTCAATTCCTCCGCCACTCTCAGAGAGCCCGGCAAGCTACTGAGAGTATCTCGCCCACCCGGCAGAGCCTGGCAAGCTACCCGTGATGTATTTGATATGCCAAACACAGTAACAACAAGTCTCATGATGGAGACGTTACTGGGCCCGCTCGAGCAAATCGTTGAACAACGGGAGGACCGTGACCGTGACTACTTAAGAATTCACATGAAACACAAATAACTGATTTGAATGATCTAAAAGACTAAACTCACCAGTACCCAAAGAAGATTCTGTGTCTCTTATAACTTGGAAGAAAGTACTTGAGCTGACTATGAAAACAATATGTCTTTTTATTCCAAGGTGAAAGTTTAAAGCATATCAGTGGGACAGAATTGCTGATGCTATTAGAAATATATGCTGGCCACACAATGTTTGATGAGGGAAAAAGCTATAAAAACTAGCAATTTCTCTACTCTGGATTCACCATAAACATTAAATAATAAGCAAAGAAGCAGGTTAGAGAATGAAGATTTATGAGAAAAAAAGAGGAAGATGAAATTACTCAGAATATTTTATTTTTCCTTCTATGTAGTACCAATTAAAGTCAACCTTTTAGAGACAGTTTATTAAAACAGAATAGGGAAATCCAGTTATCAAACGTCTTCTGTGCAAAAATTGATCTACAGGGAAGATAGGGGAGAACGTAACTTGAAGTATAAATGAAATCACAGTAAAAAAATTTTAGCTTTATCTGATTGCATATGTGAAAGTCCTTTTTTTGTTCTTTATTATAAAATGACCCAAATTGGCAGTATAATATTAAGAGACCCAGAATAATAATTACATAGAAAAAGAATTTTCAATGCAATGTGCTTAAATCTCTGAATCAGAATTACCTTAGATATTAAAATGCAGGTTTATGGTTCCCAGTCTAGAAATACTATATCAGAATCTTTGTAGACGTAGCATTTCAAATTACGTCAGCAATATGAATAAACAGGCAAATATTTTGGCAATGTTAAGATTGAGTTGCATGCTAAATATCAAGGTGGGGATATTGAATTACAGGTTGGATAACTGCAATTCTTGATTGAAGGGAAAGAGAAATATATGCAAATCATCTATGATAGATAAAATTTAAATTAAGTGACTAGTTGTTAATAAAGAAAAGCATATAGGATAAAGCACTGTCAAATTCCAAATACAGTAATGAATAAGAAAGTGAACTAGCTGAGCAGTTGACTTGGAGGAAAATCAGGAAAAAAATTTTCATAAGCTTAACAAAGAAAATGTTTTAGAAGCTGCATGTTTTATAGATTTTAGATAAAAACAACAGAAAAATCACTGAGTGGTATTTCTAGAAATAAGAATATAAATGAATCTTCCATGTGTTTCCAAGGGAGCTAAGTCTCACTGAAATACACCGAGAGATTAAACTAATTTACAAAGCACATAAGAGAGTAATGATATGTGAGACAGTGAGAAGGTAGAAATAGAGTATCATTTGAGAAACCATGAGAAATAAAAAAATAAAAAGTGCTTAAACATAAGTTGATTCAAGAGGTCTAAAAATAAGTCTTTTATAAGGGAGAAAAGACAAAAAGGGATTGAAAAAAGAAATAAGGATCAGTGCAGGAGACAAAGCACTTACACTGTGTGCAGATAGTTTGATTCCCAACACTGTGTGTCTCCTGAGTAATGTTAAGGAATACATCTGAGAACAGAGTCAGAAATTACTCCTGGGCACCACTGGGTAGAGCCTCCAAACCCAAACCTTCCGCTTGCAAGAAGTGAAGAAATAGTCCCATTTCAGTCCAAGTGGAAATAAAAAACCAGAAAATGTACTCACTGAATAAACTCAATCTATGGGTTAATGTATGTAATAGATACCACTGAATGGAGAACAAGCAAATGGCGAAGATTTTAGTAACAACTGACAAAGCAGCAAAGGGAAATTACGAGAAATGGTAGGAAAAGAAGGTAGGAGATTTTAATACACTGACTTTTCAGACAGTATGTTATGAATCATAGCTGTTCACGTTCATATTCTTATGTAATACCCTCCCAATGTAGATGAACTAGATCTTGGTCACCATTTACTTCTAATCAACTCATATGCAAAAGCTATGGATATAATCGGTGGTTATTAGGGTTTAGAAATTGTGAAGTAGAGGAGAGCAAGAAAGTAATTTGGGAGAAATTGAACTTTGAGTGTACTGTGGTGGCAAGTATATGAATCTAATCATGTCAAATTCATAAAAGCATACACTAAATAACCATTAGCTTATACTATATCATTTTTAAAATTTAAAACAAGGTCTTTTTTATTATATACTTTGAGTCACTAACCCAGTATTATTCCTTTTTTTATTGAATAACTATGAGATACATAGTTGCAAAACTGTTCATGATCAGATTTCAGTTATAGAATGTTCCAACATCCTCTTTGTCATAGATAGTTGGAAACTATCTTCTTCAAGCACTTGAACCAGGCTTCCAACCATGGACCAATATTTCTGGCCCTTGTTTCTACTGTCCTTGGGTATTAGTATCATATTATGTGCTTTTACATCCCACAAATACGTGCAATCATTCTATGTCTGTCCCTCTGCTTATGGCTTTGAAGTTTAAAACTTATCAAAATATGTTTCCTCATCAATAACTGCAAATTTATATTGAAAATCTTCAATAAAATTGAAATTAGTGTGTGTGTGGTTAAAGGGGAGAAAATTCGATTTAATTAAATTGAGAAGTGAGTGTGAAAGATAAGGCAAAAATAAAAATCAGTGCTGGTATTGACATG